TGGACTGGTTGGATCTCCTTGCAGTCCAAGGGACTCTCAAGAGTCTTCTCCAACACCACAGTTCAAAATGATCAGTTCTTTGGCACTCAGTTTTCTTTATAGTCCAACTCTCAAATCCATACATGACTACTGGAAAAACCATAGCTTTGACTAGACAGACCTTTGTTGACGACGTAATGTCTCTGCTTTTTAATATGCTGTCTAGGTTGGTCATAGCTTTTCTTCCAAACAGCAAGTATATTTTGATTTCATAGCTGCAGTGACCATCTGCAGTGCTATTGGAGCCCAAGAAAATAAAGTCTGTCACTGTTTCCTTTGTTTCCCGATATTTGCCATGAAGTGGTGGGACTGAATGCCATGATCTTTGTTTTTTGAATGTTTATTTTTATACCAGCTTTTTCACTCTCCTCTTTCACTTTCATCAAGAGGCTCTTTAGTTCCTCTTCACTTTCAGCCATAAGGGTCGTGTCATCTGCATATCTGAGGTTATTGATATTTCTCCCAGTAATCTTGATTCCAGCTTGTGCTTCATCCAGCCTGCCAAGTAAATTATGACTTACTTCTAACTTAAAAGAAGCAAATGGGGTAATGGATCCATGTTGTATGCATGGTGATAGTTCTTAATCTTCCTTGTGCCCTAATACACTTTTGAATAGGTTATATTCACCTTAGTAACACTGGATCATGACAGTGGTATTTCTTAGACTTTTTATCACCCACTCTCTATTTGCCAGTTACATTTTTTTGGCAAAAAAATCTCAAGGTAGAGTCATATAAAAATATGTGCAAGAGAATAATAATGAGAGGGTATGTACAGAAATATTATAAAATTTGAATATTTATGTGGTAAAATCATGGATATTTTTCCTTTTTTCCCCTCCAAATCTCATGAAATGTTTTAAATTTTACTTATAAGTTTTGAAAATTAACTTCTATTTTTAAAGACCTATAAAATTCTGAGATATATTCATTATATGAAGTTGGCAATTTTCTATCATTTTTGACTAATAAAAATTATAATATTTGGTTCAAAAATAATCAAGGGAGGCAAGGTCCCTGTTTACTTGTTGGACAAGCAAATAGTCCAACAAATGGACAAATGGTCCTCAGAACCTTTAAGGGAATTTTCCATGCAATTAAGTAATACTGCCATATGATTTGACTCATCTTTTTTCTCCACATCCTGTCGAAAATCATGACTTTAGACTACACGTTTCTTGTTTATGACTAGAATCATATTAAGCCATATTGACAGATTAAAAAAAAACACAAACACATTTACTTGTTCCCATACAGAACAAATAGTGGGATGAAAAAGGAAAAAAAAAAATGTGAAAGTGGAAATATTGTTACACTGCTCATCAAAATGAATTTAACTACAAAAAAAAAAAAAAAAGAAGAGCTAATCTTAAGAAGCAGATAGAAACAAATAACTTCTCAGAAGAATTTAGGATAAAATAAACCAGTGCTGATCTTCCTGATAGAATGCTTATTCTATTGCCTAGAAAAATGTGCTTCAGCAGTCTATGGTTCTTGGTCTTTTACTATTACTGTTATTATTTCTATCTCCTTAATTGCTTGGAGTGTTTGCACATCCTTACCTAGGCAGATAAATATGTAAATATATTTATATATAAATTACTGTCAGGTCCCAGAAAAGTGAAACCAAACTCTATATAAATTCTTTTTCTTTGTATACAGACTGAATTCTAAGGACAAAAAAATTACAGGGTGATGAAGTAATGAAGAGAAATTTTCCTTTATGTTTAGGTCTGTAGAGTTTAGGAAATTGAGCCAGAAAGCTATAACTAG